CGATGACCGTCTTAGCAATGATTACGTCTTAGAAACGATGACCGTCTTAGCAATGATTACGTCTTAGAAACGATGACCGTCTTAGCAATGATTACGTCTTAGAAACGATGACCGTCTTAGCAATGATGGCCGTCTTAGAAACGATGACCGTCTTAGCCAAGATGGCCGTCTTAGAAACGATGACCGTCTTAGCAATGATGGCCGTCTTAGAAACGATGACCGTCTTAGCAATGATGGTCGTCTTAGAAAAGATGGCCGTCTTAGCAATGATTACGTCTTAGAAACGATGACCGTCTTAGCAATGATGGCCGTCTTAGAAACGATGACCGTCTTAGCAATGATTACGTCTCAGAAACGATGACCGTCTTAGCAATGATTACGTCTTAGAAACGATGACCGTCTTAGCAATGATTACGTCTTAGAAACGATGACCGTCTTAGCAATGATTACGTCTTAGAAACGATGACCGTCTTAGCAATGATTACGTCTTAGAAATGATGACCGTCTTAGCAATGATTACGTCTTAGAAACGATGACCGTCTTAGCAATGATTACGTCTTAGATACGATGACCGTCTTAGCAATGATTACGTCTTAGAAACGATGACCGTCTTTGGAATAATGACAGTCATCCCCCCCCCTTCCTTTTTCACCAAATCACAATTCTATAACTTATTATGTATGGAGATCTATATGTAATAACTCAAACATTTTAAACATATGCGACCCACTTTTCTTTCATTGTCTAAATGTAACATAAAAAAAGCAAAAAAACATGTTTCTTTCTGGCACAGTCGGATTACATTAATATACAACTGAGATTCCAAATAAATATTTTAGATGGTTGGGGTTCAACCGTCTTTTTTCAAATCAGTGATGGTTTTCATCTGACACCGTAGCATTAGGCTCAGTGCTATTACAACCTATAATCATTTTCTCTGCAGGTGCTAGTCAGCTACCGCTGCCATGTAACCAGATTTTACAAACAACTTCTCACACAGGTTAGGAGAGTCAAAGATTGATACGAATCAATGACCAACGTCCGTTAAATTAGCAATTTAATTACCCATTAATAGGAGCCAATTTTAAAAAAAAAAAAATATTTTCTCTTTTTTTTTGTGTATCCAAATAACGGAATTGCGGATGGATCGCTTTCACTACATGTTCAGCTGATAGTTCAACCAATCCGGTTTCGGAAGTTTTTATTTTTCTGCACTGGCATACAGCTCGGGCCGACAGTCCCGAATTTCCGCCTTAAGTCTTCAAGTTCTTCTTGCATCAACTCGCAAGGCTTTGGGCCCTTTTTTGCTTTGGAAATTAAGCAATGTAAGGAAGGCCTCACCAACTGGGGCTCTAAAAAAAAAAAAGTCTTAGCTGAAACGCCTTCACATAGATGTAGAATTGTGCATACGTTGGAGGAAAGCTTGGTTTCGCATCGATTCAGAGATTCAATTCGTTGAAACATTTGGTCAAATCAGGTGAAAAAGTTGACACTTTTTTGTCACTGATGGCGGTGGAAAATCTCAATCTCGGCTTTTAGATTTAAATAATCACGACACAATATGTGCACAACTGGGCCACCTGCCGTAAGTGTATCTCACAGCTGGCAACCTGTCAGAGGCGTGTCACAAAACTGGCAACCTGTCAGAGGTGTGTCACACAACTGGGCCACCTGTCAGAAGTGTGTCCCGCAATTGGGCCAACTCCCAGAAGTGTCACAAAACTGGGTCACCTGCCAGAAGTGTGTCCCGCAATTGGGCCAACTCCCAGAAGTGTCACAAAACTGGGTCACCTGCCAGAAGTGTGTGCCGAAATTGGACCAGCTGCCAGAAGTGTGTCACACAACTGGACCACCTGTCAGAAGTGTATCACACAACTGGGCCACCTGCCGTAAGTGTGTCACACAACTGGACCACCTGCCGTAAGTGTATCACACAACTGGGCCACCTGCCGTAAGTGTATCACACAACAGGACCACCTGCCGTAAGTGTATCACACAACTGGGCCACCTGCCATAAGTGTATCACACAACTGGGCCAACTGCCGTAAGTGTATCACACAACTGGGCCACCTGCCGTAAGTGTATCACACAACTGGGCCAACTGCCGTAAGTGTATCACACAACTGGCCCACCTGCCGTAAGTGTATCACACAACTGGGCCAACTGCCCTAAGTGTATGACACAACTGTGTATCACAAAACTGGGCCAACTGCCGTAAGTGTATCACACAACTGGGCCACCTGCCGTAAGTGTATCACACAACTGGGCCACCTGCCGTAAGTGTATCACACAACTGGACCACCTGCCGTAAGTGTATCACACAACTGGGCCAACTGCCGTAAGTGTATCACACAACTGGGCCACCTGCCGTAAGTGTATCACACAACTGGGCCACCTGCCGTAAGTGTATCACGCAACTGGGCCACCTGCCGTAAGTGTATCACACAACTGGGCCACCTGCCAGAAGTTTGATAGGATAAATCGGAATTTCCGCAATTCTTTTTCTAAAAAAAAAAAATCGCTGATATAATGGTGATAGAGGTCATTGGAACGGACGGTGATAGAGGTCATTGGAACTGACGATGATAGAGGTCATTGGAACTGACGGTGATAGAGGTCATTGGAGCTGACGGTGATAGAGGTCATTGGAACTGACGGTGATAGAGGTCATTGGAACTGACGATGATAGAGGTCATTGGAACTGACGGTGATAGAGGTCATTGGAACTGACGGTGATTGGGGTCATTGGAACTGACGGTGATTGAGGTCATTGGAACTGGTTTCGATAAAGGTCATTGGAACTGACGGTGATAAAGGTCATTGGAACTGACTGTGATAGAGGTCATTGGAACAGACGGTGATTGAGGTCATTGGAACTGACGGTGATAGAGGTCATTGGAACGGACGGTGATAGATGTCATTGGAACTGACGGTAATAAAGGTCATTGGAACTGACGATGATTGAGGTCATTGGAACTGACAGTGATAAAGGTCATTGGAACTGGCGGTGATAGAGGTCATTGGAACTGACGGGTATAGAGGTCATTGGAACTGACGGTGATAGAGGTCATTGGAACTGACGGTGATTGGGGTCATTGGAACTGACGGTGATTGAGGTCATTGGAAATGAAGGTGATAGAGGTCATTGGAACTGGCGGTGATAGATGTCATTGGAACTGACGGTGATAGAGGTCATTGGAACTGGCGGTGATAAAGGTCATTGGAACTGACGGTGATAAAGGTCATTGGAACTGACGGTGATAGAGGTCATTGGAACAGACGGTGATTGAGGTCATTGGAACTGACGGTGATAGAGGTCATTGGAACGGACGGTGATAGATGTCATTGGAACTGACGGTAATAAAGGTCATTGGAACTGACGGTGATTGAGGTCATTGGAACTGACAGTGATAAAGGTCATTGGAACTGGCGGTGATAGAGGTCATTGGAACTGACGGGTATAGAGGTCATTGGAACTGACGGTGATTGAGGTGATTGGAGCGAATAAAGTTCACAGTTGAAACTCTAGGTCATCGTGACACAAGGAACATCCAGTTATTTTCACCACAAAGCATGCCGTGAAAAATGCCTTTGAAGAATCAGGCTGGGAAGAACCTACACCTTAACAGCCTGGTAAATTTGCCCAACTAAACCTTTCCCT